TACAGTTAACCATCCAGTTAGTCCATTCAGATTATTAATCCATTTAATGGATTAGTCTACTAATCAGGTTATAATTCTCATAATCTCATCATTTCACTTTTGAACATTCCTACATTAACAGCTTTTGTGGGATACCTCATATCTAAACCATAACAAGGATTTTTTTTTAATTATTATTTTTTTAAATACCTTTATTTTTTTGTAGTTGTAGTTGGACACAATGACTTTATTTTATTTATTTATATGTGGTGCTGAGGATCGAACCCAGGGCCTTGCACATGCGAGGCAAGTGCTCTACTGCTGAGCCATAACCTCAGCCTCAAATACTTTCGTTTTATTTATTTATTTTTATGTGGTGCTGAGGATCAAACCCAGAGTTTTGCACATTCTACCGCTGAGCCACAATCCCAGCCCCATAACATGAATTTATAAGAAAGCACAGAAGCACAACTATCTACCCCCCTTTTTTGGTTTGAACCCAGGGGTGCTTAACTATTGAGCCACATCCTAGCCTGTTTTTTTAAATTATTTATTTTTTTGTTCTAATTAGTTATACATGACAGCGGAATGCATTTCAATTTATAGTATAACAGTGGAGCACAAATTTTCATTTCTCTGGTTGTACATGAAGTAGTCACCCATTCGTGTTATCATATATTCCACCATTTTTCCTACCCATCTGTCCCCTTCTTTATCTTCCCCAGCCTTTTTGGTTGTTGTTGTTTTTTGAGACAGGGTCTTGCTAAGTTGCTTAAGACCTCTCACTTTATTGCTGAGGTTGGCTTTGGACTTGGCAATCCTCTTGCCTCAGCCTCCTGAGCTGCTAGGATTACAGATGTGTGCCACTGTGCCCAGCTAGTTATAACCTTTTAAATACTCTTACCAAGCTGTATTGATGGTTTACTTATTAAACAATTTGCTTTCTTATATTTCTATTTCTTTAATGTCATAGTATTCAGAAAATAGTGGGAGGATTCAGTGTTTGTCCAATACAGTTGTCAGTGTAGGCCATGCCAGTGCTGACCCATGGAAACAGAATGCAAACCACATATGCAATTCTATTTTAAAAAAATTTTATTTTTTTTGTTATACATGACAGTAGAGCGTATTTTGACATTTTTATACAAACATGAAGTATATCTTATTCTAATTAAAATGAGCCACACGTAAAAGTGAAATAGGTAAAGTTCATATTTTATTTAACCAGTATACATCCAAATATTGTCATTTCAACAAAAGCCTATTGAGACGTCTTACAGTCTTTTTTATTCATACCAGCTCTGCAAAATCCAGGGTACATTTTACACTTAGAGCATTTCAAGATGGACCAGTCTCATCTCAAGCATCTCATTGTCACATGACAGGTGGCTACTTTGTTGTAAAGTACAAGTATAGAAAGTGCATGTTGTGACAGGTGAGACCATAAGGATCAGAGTGGGTAGGGTTAAGGGGAGGTTTAAGGTACCCAGAGGAACCAGGGCTAAGTAGATCTAAGCCATCAGGTGCCATCTGGAATGGTCAGCAGGGACCTTGGATATCTTCTCGACCAAAGATGTAGCAGTGATAGTAGTGGTGTAGGTTCCTTAAAATATTGTGGGAGTAGGGCACCGTGGCACAGGTCTGTAATTCTAGCAACTTGGGTAGCTGAGGCAGGAGGATCCCAAGTTCTAGGCCACAGATAACTTTGTGAAATCCACAGCAACTTAGACCCTATCTCAAAATATAAAAAGGACTGGGGATATAGCTCAATAGTCAGGTTTCCCTAATCCCCAGTACTAGGGATCAGTGGGAGATCACAGGGAAACAATCAGGTTTATGTAACTGTGCCATATCTCATTCTCCAAATAACTGTCTTTCTTCCATATTTCCTGGTTATCTGAGTAAATTATGATTCAAATAATATGAGTGGTTGTTATATAATTCTAAATTTATCACTATAAAAAATGAATAAGAGGGACGAGAATTAACCTACAAAATCCACAAAAGGTGGGATGTTAATTGTGTATTTTTTACACTTATGGTTGAATAAAACATACAGTAAAAAGTCTGAGGCTGGGGATATAGCTCAGTTGGTAGGGTGTTTGTCTTGCATGACAAGGCCCTGGGTTCAATCCCCAGTACCCCGCCCCAAAGGAAAAAAAAAAGTCTGAAATTTTGACTTTGAATACATTTAGATTAAGATTTTTTTTTCTTTTAAGGGGGTACAACCTAGGGGTTAAGGGTAGTTTTTGGTAAGTTGTAAAATTTAAAGGTCCAAAACTTTGAAGAACTCAGTAAGTTATGGAGATAGCCACAAAAATCATTTGATGATTACTTACTGTGTGCCATTATATTCTATTGTCATAGTACAGATGAGAAAACTGAGGCATGGAGATAGGATCTAACATTCAATTTTGCACATAAAAGAAGAGCTGGAATTGGAACCCAGGCTGTTTGGATCCAGAACAGACACTATTAACAAGTGTGGGGCTGACTTTTGTTTCTTTCTTTTCAGATTTTTTTTTTTTTTTGGTATTTAGCCATGTTTTTTCCCCCATTACATAATTTTTACTGTGAAAATATTGGCATAACCTGAATAGAGGATAGAAAGACTCAAAATGCTGTACTAGTCTTTGCAGCTTTTCTCTAAATTCTGAACTACATCAGAATACAATTTTAGAAAAAGACTCACCAGCGACAACATAGATCTAATTTTTTAAAAATCTTCTCTAACTAGCCTTTTTTTTTTTTAAAAAAAAAATATTTTTAGTTGTAGATGGACACAATACCTTTATTTTGTTTATGTAGTTTTAAGTGGTGCTGGGGATTGAACCCAGGACCTCACATATGCTACGTCAGCGTTCTACCACTGAGCTACAACCCAGCCCCTCTAACCAGCCTTTTATTTTTATCTGGAACTATTTGTGACTAAACATTATTGGGGAAAATTATTAGCAACATAAAGGGGACGGTTGTAAAGAACTCAGAGAACTTTCTTACGGTTCAGTAAGAAAAGCAGGCATCAACAATGAACAAAGGGAAAGGAAAAATAACAAAAACCAAATGGTCTACAGTGTATGAAGATATGATTTTCACTAGAAAGTTAGTATGTAATCTGCATGAAATGCCTTTTTCCCTTTTTTGAAATTGGAAAAATATTGGATAAAGAAAGATAGTATTCAGTTTTCCAAGGGGTTTGAGCAAACAGGCCAACTGACTGAGGTCAAGTGGCAGAAATGTATTTCAGCATTACTTAAAGTGAGATGAAAAAAATGGCAAGAATTTAAAATTTTAAAATGATGGAGCAAATAAAGAATTTGGAATACAAAACTGTTGTATAGTTGCTCTTGAAGATTTTTATATATATGGTGGATGTCACTGTGGAAGCTGATTATAAAATGTGTACTGTAGTTTAATGTTTGTTTAAAAACATATTTATGTGCCCACCTGTAGGGCTCACCCCTGTGCTTTGCTGCTCACTGGGTGTGTGACAAGATACCTCATCTCTTATTACTTGAGTTTTTTTCACAGAGATTTCATTACCAGTTTTCAGGTGTTGAAGTTAGATGAAAAGCAAAGGAAGATTTCTCTGTAGTGCATGGCATACATGCCTGCTAAATGGCTTTCAAAATTTTCCAAAAATCTTAAATCTGGGGAGTAGATTGCTTGCTGGCAATTAAATTTTTATTATTTTTTTCCTATCCATATTTATACTTTTCTACAAAAAGACATGTTTTGCAAATTTTTAAAAAGAGGTTAGAAAATGCTTAATTTACTTTTAAGTTATAGATGGCAAAGGTAGAATAGATGAGAATTTATTTTATTGCTTACTGAGCTGAAAAACTTAGAACTCACTCATTCGATGTTGAAAATAGCCCTTCAGCCACATTTATATTTAATAGCATTTGTAAAGAAATAGTAGGTTTTAACAATCCTGCTGATTGTTTATCTTTAAATAAAGTAGGTGGGAAGGCAAGGGTTAAAGCAGAAGGAAATAAAAATTAAAAAATGGTAAATGCCAGTTATTTATATTAGTTTTTGGCAAAATTTCAAAATTTTAAAATTTTCTTTTATTTTGAACTGGGAAGTATTTTACCCCTTAAGAAAGAGGAAGTCATGACCTGGGGATGTAGCTCAGGGGCAGAGCTAGTGCATACTGTGCAAGGCCCTGGGTTCCATCCCCAGCACTGCAAAGAAAGTCATGCTGTCAGATGATTTATTAATTGAAGGGGTTGAATATAATAATGATATTTCCAGTTATTTTTCCTCATTTTATTTTCATGTTGTCTCAAAATCCTTGAAGCATCCATAATATATGGTGGTGGTGCATGCTTTTTTTAAAAAAATATTTATTTTTTAGTTGTAGTTGGACACGATACCTTTTATTTTATTTATTTACATGTGGTGCTGAGGATCGAACCCAGGACCTCGCACACGCTAGGCAAGCACTGTACTGCTGAGCCACAACCCCAGCCGCATGGTGCATTTTTAATTACTACCTGTTGAATGATTCCTCTTTACATTTAAAATGGAATTGTTCTATTTTTTTTTTTCATGGTTTTCGTGTAAACCAGTCCTCGGGTTGTATATACTTAGGCATGGGTATAGGAGGAAATCCAGGTTATATATTCCATTTTCTTAGAACATACATCTTTTTGTCCATTGGTTGCATTCTGGAGTGACTATCAAGAAGAGGTTCAGAAGAAACAAAAGTAAACCTAATTCTTATAAATACATTGATTTATTTTATACAGTTTCTCTCTGTACCTATTTACTACATTTGAGATTTTATAAATGTTTGTTGGTATGTTTTTGAAAGAAGAGTATCGTAGAGAAATTGCTTAATATCTTAATATATGTGGCTGATTCATCACTGTTGAATTTGTAACCAGGAGTGCTAGAACCATACTTGGAAGAAGATTATCTCATGCATCCAAATTAAACTTAAACAAGTCCCTCTCCTCATTGCCCATGGCTTTTTTTTTTTTTTTTTGGTGAATCCTTGATTTTCTTTTTTTTTTTTCCCCCAGGGCAATAACAGGTATTTATTTAACTTTCTCAAACCCAAGAACAACTTATTACTTATCAAACATAGAAAAAACTTAATGGATTTTGTTAGTGTTCCCATAGCTACAAAGTTCTAAATAAAAATTTTATGTACAGCATCAGCTGACTGACACTAGAAGCAGTTACTAAACACCTACAGTGACAATTTCCACATGTCTGGCTACTTCTAGGGGTTATGTGGTATGCCATACTGTCAATGAAATGGTAAGTGTGCTCCATCTTTACAGATAGCAATGCTTACTCCAGGTTAAATAATCACATGTGTATGCAGTTAGTGTTCAATATAAGTTTTCCCCTTAAATGAAATATATAGAGAACCCCAATATGTAAAAGCAAGTTTTAGGAAATTGCATTGGCAGTGGTGACTGGCTAATATATATCCTCATTCTACATACATGCTGGGGAAATTACAGGTTACAGGAATATATGCAGTATGGGGATGTGGGGAGAACACACACAAATACAGAATTGTACAGAACAAGTATAAAGGTCTCTCTCAACCTTTACACCCCTGGGGATATGCCCCTTCTCTCCCTGTGAACCTTGGGGAAATGCTTAGCACATCAAGCCTCAATGCCTTCCAATCTCAATTCAAAGACTGGGCATTGTACCAGAAACACAGAAGTTCTACAAATGTGGTTACCAATCCTAATTGCCCTCTTTTCAGGTAAATAATAAGAGGCAGCATAGTTCACATGCCATTATCTAGCTCTTTAAATCTTAAATTTTTCTGGCTTTTTAGTAACAACACGTTTTGTTTCTTTTTAAAATATTTTTTTATAGTAGATGGACACAATACCTTTATTTTATTTTTATGTGGTGCTGAGGATTGAACTCAGTGCCTCACATGTGCTAGGCAATCACCCTACCAACTAAGATAGAGCCCCAGCCCAACAACACATTTTCAACAAATTAATATTTCTTCTTGTGTTCAGGCCAACAACATATTTTCAATTAATATTTCTTCTTGTGTTCATATAGGTTTTAAGATTCAGACATATCTCCTCTTTTAGAAGAGTGAATAGCAATGAATCTGTCTAAACAATGAGAAAGTACTTAATATTCCTAAAAGGTATACTATCCTGTTTTCTTTCTTTTCCAGTACTGGGGATTGAACCCAGTGGTGCTCTACCACTGAGTTACACCCCCAGCCCTTATTTTTTATTTGGAAACAAGATTTTACTGTTACCCAAGCTATCCTTGAATTTGTGATTCTCCTGCCTCTGCCTCCCAAACAGACGGGATTACAGGTCTACACCACTGTAACCAACTCTAATCTGTTTTTTGAATACGGTGGTTCTTTTTCTTTTCTGCATATTCTTCTAGCCGAAGAAGCCACTTGGTCCAATACTGGGAACAGAGCTCTGCATCCATGAAATGTGGGTGGGCAGGGGATCCATCTTTGTAAGCTACCACAATCAGGCCACAGTGAACCTGAAAACTGTAGTTGGCATCATGGTTTATGGCACCCACATATGCCACAACTTGTAGAGGGTTGTCATATGTATTTTGGATAAAAGGCTTTTGGTTTCTCTGATGTCTTCCAATCAATCACACACAACTTGCCCTGATACTCAGCCACACAGTCCAGTAGACCTACATACTTTAAGGTCTCATGCTGAACAGCGCTTTTAAGAGCCCGCACTCCACTGACATCTTTCAGAATATGTTGGATGCTTTCGATGTAGCCACATTTGAGGATTTCTTCATCTCTCTCTTTTATGTTCCCCTGGGGTGAAAGTATGCTTTCCAAGGCTTCATGGAACTGTTTCCCTTGTAAAAAGATGTCTTGGACGCCACCACGCTTTGTTAACTCCCAGGGCGCCAACACCTTCTCGGGAATCCTACTTTGGCCTGGAGTCCCCTTGATTTTCTAATATGCATCATGGATCTAAGGCAGGAGAGGGTAGAGTTAAAATTATAGTATTTCTCTTCCTTCTTTTCTCCTCCTTTCCTCTCTTCTCACCCATTTTTTAAAATAAGAGACTGTTTTATGTGAATGGTGAAAGAGAACCAGGGAATTATTTTGATTATTTCCCTAAACAAATAATTTGTGCTCTATCAGTGCTTAAATATTGCTTAAGTATTAGACTGTCTGGTATTGAGGGTCCAGTAAACACTTCATAGAGTGAGATAGCTTAGTATTGGGTAGATGTTTGTCCATTGTTTTAGAGCAATAAAAACCAGAAGTTCTTAGAAGAGAAAGTTGCTATTACAAACAGATTTGAATTGAAAATGTAATTTAAAAACTATGAAGTGTCTTAACACTGACATGCTTTTAAAACAGTTGGGGACAGGTGAAAGTTGGATATAGGAAATTGCTCCTTTAATCTTAGTTTTTTAACTTAAATTTTTTTTTTTTGTCCTTTACTTTGCACACACTAGTGGATGGTTCACTGAGTAGTATTAAGTTATATTGTTATTATTATTAGGAATCATTCTATTAAATTATTTATAGTAGTTATATTCTATAAAGCCCCCCTGACTGTTGAAGTAGTGAATTCATTAGTCAGTTTTCTGTCACTATACCAAAATACCTGCTTTATAATTACATTATAAAGCAAAAGGTTTATTGTGGTTTACAGTCAATTGAGTGGACTCATTGATTTGGGCCTGAAATGGCAGTGGCAGGAAACGTATGGGGGAGCACACTCATGGCCAGTAAGAAGGGGAGAAGAGGAAGAGGCTGGGGACATGCCCCCAGTGATTTGAGGACCACCCATAAGTCCCCACTACTCAGAGGTCTATTCACAGTACCTCCCAGTAGTTCCACTCTGGGGACCAACCCTTTCCTTTGAGGAACATTCAACATGTAACTATAGCAGCGAATAATGAACCATTCCTCTTAGGGGAAATACAGGATTAGGCTTTTGTATTCTCTTTCTGATCCATACATAACCTTGTTTTTTTTTTTTTTTGGACAGCATGCCTTTATTTTATTTGCTTATTGTTGTATGCGGTGTTAAGGATTGAACCCAGTGCCTCACACATGCTAGCCAAGTACTCTGCCCGTGAGGTCCAGCCCTGTAACCTTGTTTTATGTGTGTCCAAGTCTAAAACTACCTTAACTTAATATATGTGGCTGATTCATCAATGTTGAATTTGTAACCAGGAGTGCTAGAACCATACCTGGAGGAAGATTATCTCATGCACATGTTTTCTGTTCAAGGCACCTCATAGCCTTCTTTCACTACTTCAGCAGTGTGCTTGAGGGCCATTGTAAACAATGAAATCATCAAAGAAAGCACAGAAAAGGGGAAAATCAGGCACTGAATATACCTCAAAAAGGATTCTTGTTCATAGATGAGAACCAAAACAAGGAGTCCGTGTGGTGCCTTGTTCAGCCCTAGCTGGGAACACGTGTTGGACAACTTGAAGTTTTCTTTTCACATGTTCTTGAATGACCACAAAAGTGCCAGCGGTATTGAATGTTGGAGTTACAAATCAATTTTAACAAGTAGGTGAATTCCCAAATATGGAATCCTTGAGCATGATGATGGATTTTGGAATCAGGCATTGATCTGGAAGCTCAGTTTTCAGTCACTCAGCTCCTAATGTTTAGTTGACTCTGCCCACCTGCCATTTCTGCTCTGGTCCTGCTATTCTCCAACAAGCTTCAGTGTAAAGTGTGTGTGTGTGTGTGTGTGTATGTGTGTGTGTGTGTGTGTGTGTGTAGGTGTAGGCTGCTGTCAATCTAGTAAGCAAGAAAATAGAAAGTGCCCAAGTAATGTAGTCTGGTAGTGAATAAAACTAAAGCTTAGCTATAGAGAATTTACTACTGATTGTTCCCAAAATTGTTGGATAAATCAGAGATTTCTGTTGTGCTTACCTTTCCTTGTACTTTGAGTATTAGTGTCATTTATGATGGGGAGCATAAATACTGGATTCAGAAGTAGACTGTTCTGTATGTCACACAAATCTGCATGCATACAGACCATACTGCTTCAAGTATTTTAAATTCTGCCACTGAGTTTGGCTTCTCCTTTCCATGTGGTCTTAAGAGTTGCTCACAGCTGCAGTTCATGATGATGTGTTTCCTAAGGAGTCTAGTTCAATTTGGTGCTTGTTGTGAGTTGGTGTGAAATTAAAAAGATGATTTGAATGTGGTCAAGGACCAAGTTTGAACACAGCTTGTCAATTGATTATTAGGGAGGTTTTTAATTTTTTCTTTTAAAGACTGTCAGATTGATTTTATGTGAAAGCTTACTTTTTAAGATTAATAAACATGTATTAATCATGTGCTAAAGTCCTGTGCTAGATAAATAATACACGTTCTTCCCTGTCTTTTAGGAGCTCACAATCTAGTTCAGGACATAAAATATTTTTTTAAAAAAATTTTATTTAGTTATAGTTGGACACAATACCTTTATTTTATTTATTTATTTTTATGCGGTGCTGAGGATCAAACCCAGTGCCTGGCCCATGCTAGGCGAGCGCTCTACCACTGAGCCACAACGCCAGCCCCGTAATAAAATATTAAAAAATAAAATAAATAGCAAAAGTGTGGGCTTTTGGAAATAAATTGGACGGAGGGTGTTTGAGGAGAGTGGAGTAAGAAGTAAATAAGGTCAGCATCGATTATTACTTTGTGGCTTTTAATCATTGTGTGTGAGTGTGTGAGTTTAAAATAGGATATCATCTAAGTTTTGCATTTCAGGAATACAATAATGTGTGAACTTGATAAGAGTGTTAGTAGGAGACAAGTTACTGCTTTCTCTGCAGGGATGAAGGCTTAATCTTCATGTTTGACAGAGTGGGGAAAACTGAGTAGGAACAAGAGTCCATAGGTCTAGATCACTGAATATGGATAAGGAGAATCAGAAAGTAAGCTCTTAGGCCTTTACAGTAATGAATATTTCCTCTCTCTAAGTGTGTAAGTCATTCTCCAACTTTAATCTAAATCCAGAAATTTGGAGGCCAAATGCCCATGCTTAAATCTATGAAAGTCTTTTGCATTGTTCTATTTTTTTACTTTATCATAAAACATGTTTTAGATTGACAGGTCCACATGAGTATATATTTTTTTAAAGAAAATAATTTTATTCTAGAATAATGTAGATTACAGAATAGTTACAAAGATAGTCTAGGAAGTTCTTCTGTAGCTCTCACCAAGTTTTTCTAATGTCAGTATCTTACATTATTATGATTAATTTGTACGAACTTAAGAAGTCACATTGGTATATTTCTGTTGACTTTGTTCTGACCCCACTGGCTTTTCCACTAGTGAGTGTGTCTTTTCCAGGATAGCATGCAGGATACCATGTTGCATTCTGTCATCATACCTCCTTAAAACTCTCTTTTGACCTGTGCTTCTCATTCTTCACGTGTTTTTCATGACCTTGAGAGGTCAGATATTCTGTGGGATGTCCCTTAACTGGGATTTGCCTTATGTGTTTCTCTAGACTGCAGTTAAGGGTGTTTGGGAGGAAGACCACAGACATTAAGTACTGTTTTCATTACATTATATTAAAGGTGCATCCCTGTCCACATAACTTATCACTGTTAATGTTGATCTTGATTACCTTGCCAGGTTGGGTTTGTCAGATTTCTCCACTGTAAAATTACATTCCCTGCCACATCTATTCTTTGGAAGCAAGTTATTAAATTCAGCCTGTACTTAAGGGGTGGAGGAATTAAAGTTTACCTTCTGGAAGAGGGCATCTAGATAAATTGCAGTACTATATTTGGAATGCTTCTATAAAATAGATTTACCTCGTTTACCACATTTATTCGATTATTTATACCAGTATGAATTTAGATATATTCATTTTATACTTTGGGTTATAATTTAATAGAATATGATTTACTACTTAGGTTTTTTTTTTTTTTTTCTAGCTTGTGGCATTGGAGCTTCTTCATGTTTGCTTCTATTTTCATTTGATGTGACTTTCTCCCCACCTACTGTTTCTTTGAGCAGGTTCTTAACTTCTCAGCACTACTAAATGCTCCAGGCTCATCTTGCATTTTCCCTCTCCCAGGCCTAGAGTCAGCCATTTCTGTAGGAACCCCTGGATCCTTTCACTAGAGAAGGGTATTAGAATCCAGCATCTGGCTGCTGGGGGTGCTCATTGCCACTGGGGTGTTACCTCGTCTAGGCTTTCATAGGGCAGGGCCAGGAAGTAGATGTGTATATACAGACACACATAAGTAGAGTTTTGTTATGCCAAAGGATTTTCTAAGTAAAAATACAGAATAAAGCAGTTTTCTAATAACATTAGAGTGGTAGATCTAAAAAAAATAAAATAAAATAAACTAGCTTTAAAGTCTTTATTGTTTGTGTTGTTATCATCTAGTGACAAGGGTAAATCACAAAAAAAGTGTAAACTACTGTAAAGTACTTTTTTAGGTTTTTTAAAAAATTTGTTACTATTAGTTTATCATTCTATATGTTGTTTTTGTAATAACAATATGCAGAGAGTCCTATAAACCACTATATTTGTTTCTGGACTTGATTTCCAATGGGTCATAAACTCATGCATTATAATCTGTTTCAGATACTTGTGAACTTAATAGAACTATTTCAGAATTGTGGTATGAAAATTAAAGGCAGAATGCAGTACAAAGGCTGCAACATTTTAGGCAACAGTTTATGTTATGTTGCTTCCCTTTGGATTTTTTTTCCTCATTGTGACCTTTTGAGTAAAATTGCTTAAGACTTTTTTTTCCTTCCTTTTTCCTTTTTGGCAGTATGGGGGATTAAACCAGGGCTTTGCACATACGAGGCAAGTGCTCTACTATTAAGCCACAACCCTAGCCTGGTTTGATTTTTTAATGTATTCTGTACATTGTTTAATTTTTATGTGTTAAAAGGAAGCTAAAAGTTCTATTATCCTATCTTCTTTCATTTTTTATATAAAAATTGTATTAAGCTCAATATAAGTTAAGTGTTGTTCATAGTGCCCCCCAAAACTGATATTACAATCATTACTAAAATGCAGATATCCTGTTATTGTTCCCCCTCCACCTTATTACAGTGCAGTCATCTGATTTATTTTAAGCTTCATTAAATATTTTATTAGAATCTGATAGCCCCTTTTCATTTATTGTTCAATTAAAAGCTTAACCTTGTATTGAACAAAGTTTTAGGGACTGCTTGATACATGATAGGCACTGTGCTTTGAAGTCTTATGTAAAATCTGCCCCTGAGGACTTACATCAGAATATTGTAAAGAATTGGTTGAGAAGCAGAGTTTAAAAGCATTTTAGTTTTGTTGCAGAAGCATAGTCCATATGGACTATTAGACTTTAGTTATTTATGAACTTGTATTGTTTGTATTTATGGAGTGATCTAGGATTCACATAGCACTGTGAAAAATGTGTATTTACTCAAATGGTCATGAAAACTTTGTCCATATATATGCGTTACGCAGCATGTTTATCTTACTAATTCTGTTAGAATTAATATTAAATACATTTATGTTTTCTGAGAGCGATAGTTAGAAGAAAATGTCTTTTATGTACTTGGTGGTTGACAGGTTATAGGGTGTTGTTATTCTGAGATAATTTAGTTACTGAATTTAATGTCTCATTTGGTAGTAAAAGGTTATGCTTATGATTAGTTCAGAATAAATTTACATATTTTTTAGACCTAGGTGTAAGAATCAGCCAGAATAATCCATATCAACTACACATCATGGTCTTAATTTTTTGTTACTATTGTTTTCATTATTATTTTTGGATGAGACAGGAAACTATAGAGTAACTTGAATTAACAATAATTAATTCATGGTATTGGATTTCACACCAGGGTGTGTTCATGTAGCCTATTTTTTAAAAAGGAATTTCATTTTTATGGCCTTCATTTCCATTCTGGTTAGGAGGCACTAGGGCAAGATTCTTTGACATGTTGTTTAAAAAGCACAATAGTCTATGAAAGTACCGACAAGAGAAAGTTATAGAAACTTAGAATAGAAACCTAGAAATTACCAAATGGATTCATGTATTTATGATTCATTTTGTAAGTATTATGCATCTCAAGTGTATTCTTGGTTCAGTTTTCTATTTTTTTTTTAAATTTCTGGTGTTATATTTCATTGTCTTACCTCTGATTAGTGTATATTGGAATGTTTGCTAGGTGTCATTCACTTTAATTGTTTACACTTTTATATTGGTCAAATACTATATTCTTTTCTTTTTCAAAACTAGGGATTTAACCCAGGGGTGTTCTACCACTGAGCTACATCCCTAGTTATTTTATTTTATTTTTTATTTTGAGATG